AGTAGAGCAACGTTTCACTCGTACTTAAAAACGTAGAAGTACATAAACATTTTACATTTGTTACCCACTTATGTCAATACTTCAACACGCATTTTACCTGCAAGGCCACTTGGCCACGTCCAGCTACTCATTTAGTACGTCGTGTAAGCTCACCTTCATTTGCTAGCTTAATCTGGAGCCCTAGTCTCCTCACCCGCACGTCACGGCGATTTAGTGTCCGACATGACGGACGTGTACCTATATCATATTCGTCTAATTGTAATATATCAGCAATCAGGCAAGATCAAAAAAACGTTTTGTGACCGTTTATGCACTTATATCGAAAGGCCACGACGAGGGACACCCTCCAGTTTTGCTACGGGCACATTCACTCGCTTAAAATGATAAAAACGACTTCACATTTTATAGTGCATAATAATGTACGTGTACTGTACGGTATAATTGTATGTAGAAGCACCCAACCGAATAGGTGGAAACTGTTTGGCATATGGCTCTGGAGGGTAAAAGGGAAATTCCATCTACTGCAGAATAAAAAGAGCCTGTCTTGGAAACCTGTATTGGCCTCGCAATTGCGTCTATGTTCCCTCATGATCATACAATACGATAGGAAGCACCGGATAATTACCAGCACCAGCTGGACTCTGAAAAATGGCGTAAGAAGGCCTGAAAGAAAGACAACCATCGCTTAAATAGCGTAAACCCCCCTGCCTCTCTAGTTGGTACCAAAAAAATAGGAACGAGATGGAAGCAACCTCAAACGGTTTTACGGCTACCCAAAGGTATGCCATATTCGTCGCTAGATCAAAAAAAACGAGGCGGCGTCTGCAACAGGTCTAGTACAAGTGCTATCGTATCGGGACCTCAGAGCATTCATAACCTCAGCAACGGTAAATGAAAGCGACGGACTATCTGCAGGTTGATGAAATGCTTGTGTAAGGGGCATTGCGATGCGAAAGCGTATGGATCTTGAATTTTCAGCATCATCACAGCCGATCAGAACCACAATCTTTCTTCGCATCCTGCCGGGCATCGAACCCACCAAAATCTCTCGCACGGGCAGGTTTCATCAATTAAGGGGTTCCTTGACGCAAGATGCCTTCACGAAGCATCCGGAATCAGTCAAAAGTGACACATGGCGTGAAGGTTCTAATGTGGAATCTGTACAACACCATTTGGCAGCTGGCCAAAAAGGAGTTGGACGGCGAGAGCTCGGTCGAAATACAGGGTAGCAGATCATAGGGATGAGGCCTATGAAAAAGAATTAGTTTTGGACGATAATGGACGTGTCACATATTACTTTTATTGCACACCCGGCAACAACGAAGTTGATGAGACTCAATCACGCATTTTTAGTCTTGAACTGTACCTACAAGACAATTAGAATTGCTTGCATCTCTGGACGTCGTCTATTCCACCGCATTGTACACCATATTCTTCGCGGCCTTCGTTTTCATGAAGGACGAGAACGAAGAGTCGTAGAGGACTGGTGTTGCGTTCTTGCACAAACTTTAACACCAATGCTCTACCAAAAGTCTTCGCCGTTGATCGAGAACTTGCTCTGATCTCGGCGTTGCGATATCAGCTTCCTGAGGCCTCGATTTGTTTTGTGCGTGGCATATTGAACGCACCTAGTCACAGACTATAACCTTAAGGTCCACAATTACTACACGCAATACGTGTTTGCCCGTTCCTGGCTCAACAAAAAACGTCGAAAACGAGTCGTTGCCACTGCCGGTGGTCAGGTCACTCAGCATCGTGCCATTGGATTAGATACCGTGTTTGAGACAGTAGAGCGAGCTCCCAGCAAGCATTGCCCGTTTCAATACCGCTCTTGACAAGATAACTTGATAAAATGTCGCGCATGACTGAAATTTCCGTATAAGGGAGGGAGATAGAATGAAGTAGTTTATGACGATGTGTTTTATTTATTATTTTGTACTAAAGTAGGTGAAGTATTTTATACCATTTTAGGCGGGCGGGTGTGCCCGTAGCAAAAATGGGCTGTACCCCTATCAAAAGTGGGGTGTGCCCCTAGTCGTGGACATATGGAAATACCTTAACTACTTGCTAGATATATCGTATAATTAAAACATACCACAGAGCATCAGGTATGCGCCATTTGGACACTACGATGTCTCATTTAATCTAGCTGAGACAATTCGTACGGGAGAATAGCTACACATCAATAAATATGAAACCGAACGGTGGATCAACGTGTGATGTTCATCGTGGGCTCGTAACACAGCGACAATTTCAATTGTAGAATACCGCACGTGACAAGTCGATGCAGTTCAGCATTCGCGCAATACTGTCAACGAAAATGAAATGTATATGTTTCTAATCCATACAATAAGAGTGGGAAGAACCATTCATACGTCGATGTATATGACAGGTCCTAGGTATGTAACGGTTTCGGTCGGCTACTAACGTACATTCCACGCGCTTGTTCCAACAATTGAGTACCTGGTGTAGTAGTCATTTTCCCATCGTGTAATGCATTTTTCTCGTGACTGTCTGGTGTATTTTATTACATTTCAATATGTGTGTAAACATATCTATGATGCCACGAGTTGGACCAAAATTCACGTTCTTTTGTACACACTAACTTACGTACCTAGAACAAATTTTCAAAGTCCACGTTCCCATTTGCAACCAATGAGGTACCTTGCGACCAGTAATGCATGGTTTCTTTGCGACCTGCTCGTCACCCGCGTACCATCTGACGTCTGCCACCGGTTCAAGACAAGTACAGACACGAATCAAACACTGGGTGGTATCCCGTCAAAGCACCGTCCGGCACCGTTCGTAGAGAAAGCAAACGTCTTTGAACTATTGGAATTCGTACCCGTCTTATCACTGATTACCTCCAGGGCTTGAGCTCCGTAGATCCAGAGTGTGCCGAATCATGGGGCCACTTACGTCCGTTTTTACACCAGTTATTTCGAAAAGACGCTGATGGTAACCGTCGAGGACTCTTTGTGTCGAACGATTTAAAAGCGTCGAGTCAGCAAATTATGCACACCTGCTACGGGATGTCTTGCTTGAGTGTTGACAGAGCAAAATCGATGCAATCATGACTCAAACACCAACCCGACGACGCGGTGACAGCATCAAGGGCCAAAGATAGTCAGAAGCGCGGGCTGTCTTTATTCAATGACCCTATTAGTCACTTTTTACCGTTTTCGTGAAACTAGAAACATGCCAACAAATCATGGGTGAATAATGCTGGTACAAAGGTCTTGCTATTCTGCCCAACACGGAGGTCCGTAACACTGCGTCAGTGCAGTCGTTGACAGAAAAAACGGCAGGTTCGAAGCTCACGAGTTAATTGCTGTTGATACAGTATTGATCGAAACTTCGCTCAGCTTGTCGCCTGCGTAAAAGTCAAAGACGACACAAGACGCCCGGTCTTGTGCTCATTTAGTGATTGGCAAAGAGAGTGGACTCCAGAAGATAGCAAAACAGTATCGCTGTATAAAATGAAGCAAATGCAGACAATATTTACTTCGGATTGAGAATTGGGCACGACGCACGTCAGTGAGACGGCCACTGACCATCTCCGAGAAGCAACAACGTTACCGTTAGATGCCAAACTATCTAACAGGTAGAGCTTGAAACGGTTTGGAAGCGCACCCTCGACCATCTTGTCGTAGCGGGAATTTTTAGCCGACGAGTACGCACGTATTGCGGCAACCTGGCAGCAAGCATTATTAGCGTTACGAAGAGAAGTACATAACCTAAAGAAGCGTTATCAACGCTTTGCACGATAGAAACGCCTGCTTACGACATCTGATATACAGTAGGAAACGCAGCGAGAACGAGTTGCACTGTAGCAGTCAAAACATATTTGTGGGATTGAGATTCGACGTTGCTGCAGTAGTCGTCACCGATGCTAGTCTTGCAAGCAATTCATGTCATCCATGTTTTCTGCGGCTACAATAGAAGCGACTCACGGCACTAGCGCATGTACTTTTGCTTTGACGAGCGTATCTTTCATGGTACCTTCAAATGGAAATTACTTCAATCGGTTCGGTATAGCCATCTTACTATGAGCCGCCCTGCAGATTTAAGGTGATCATTTCGTCTAGGTCGATCAGTTTACATACTTGTTTTTGAGGCATCTGATCTACCATTGATCCCAAAACGTAGACTACGCCACGTCTAGGACATGCCAAGCGGAAAGGAAGCTTGACTGAACCATCACTGTCATTGAGGTACACTACAAGTAATATCGAGCAAAGGTGACGCTCTGCTACGATGTTAACTTCAGTGCGGATCTTTTCCGACGATTTACGGCGAAGGATGCGACATGATCATTGCAAACGATACGATGGTAAATGGGCATAAGAAATGTTCTCTTCTGATACTGGACGGCATGGTCTGAGGCAGTCAATTGCTGTCAACCATTCAGTGCAGTCAAGTCTACATTTGTCCAAGCATACCCTAAGCAATCGCTAAAGCAAGCGCATCGAGCTTTCAAGCCACCGGTGGTATCGCTTCTGGAGTCTGCAAGGAAACGAAGCAGCAGCGGCAAAAGATATCACGACTTGTCACTGCAAGGCATTTCGCTCAAAATCGCATGTAATGACGAACGTGCGGCCCGAGAGAAGGGCAAGTTGTAGGCTATCGAGTAGAGCTATTGGTTGATTGACAAGGGCGCGCTGTTGCCAAGTACGCATTTGGATCGTTAGTCCGTGGAATTATCACCTCCATAAAAAGTGATTCGTCCTCGAGCAGCTCAGCAAGACTTGCTCAACAAGATGCACTATAGCTTGCCGCTAATATACGTATGGGCCAACGCTCTTGACATCCACCGACAACAGCTTCGAAAGTGTCACAGACATGGTGAGACCAACAACGTATGCAAGCATAACGGTCAGACATTGAGAAGTCATCCAGTCATGAAAAAAGAACTATTTAGTAAAGCATTCTATCAAATACACCATGGCATCCGTAGCAGAAGCGATGACACTTGGTGGAAACAAGTGTGCTCATATGTCTTAATCAGAGGAAGGCGGTTGTTTCGGAGATGTTGATATCAGTAGAGGCGGTGGTGCCACTGGAGCAAACGGCCAGGCGTTGTCCAAAGCGAGCGTCAATCGAGAGTCGCTGAGGGGAATGAACAAGCCATACCACTTAGTTGCATCGAGAGCGGAACGGGTATCGTTCGGCATCTGGTCCCACATGATCAGAGGTTGGAACTGACCAGCCAAAGGTGACAAGCTGAGCTTGCGGGCCTGACCATCCACCCCTATATCGAGTTTGACGCTTGACCCGTCCATAAACTTAGCATCAGGCGGAGCGGCTTTGATGTATGCTTTTTTACCTTCGCTCCAAATCGACACAGCCTCGAGCGTCGGGTTTGCTACTGCAGGGTTATTGAGCCACACAACGACGTGCTCCCAGTCGTACCGCTCAGTGTAATTCGGGGATGTCGGGAAGTGCCATGTGTACATGACCGCAAATTTTTCCAGATGCCAAGTCGAGCGCCCATAGACTTGAGACTTCACCTTCAGCTCCTCGCACTTGACATCGGCGGTTTCCTCGATCCAATCGCCGTAAGTCGTCTCACCCGCCGCATTCACAGCGGGATACGAGGGGCATCCTGCAGATACGTGGATCTGAGGTTTGAACTTGACGCCCGCCTTGTCGCCAATTGTCGTGGCCTCCGGCTCAGGAAACGGCTCCACTTGCTTAAGGCCTATCAGCTTTGTCTTCCACGGCTCTCCCTGAGCAAGGAATGCAGTAGCAGCGAGCAGGGCACCATTCAAGACGTCACAAGTCTTCATGCCTGCGTAATGTCGTGCGAGGGAGCAGTCAACTTGCACAATGAACGAAGCAGCACAGCTGGAGGGTCGAAATCACGACATAACGGTGTAACCTCTGTGCAGGTATGCGTCTCTTGTGGTCGTTCTGGGGCCCGTCACCAGATAGAGTGACGTAAACTGAACAACCCCACGGTACCGAACCATCCAGACGAGTGGGTCTCTTCCAAACGAATTTTTAATAACATCTGCTCCACTTTCGTATGGTTGTCAACGTAAGTTACAGGTCTAGACATAAATTGTTGGAGGCTAAACCCTATTGACATTGACAGAAGGTAAAAAAGTTATGGTTGTCGGAGTTGCGCCTCGGCAAATGAGAAATTAGAAATGCGCGATAAGGCCACGAGTAATGCGCGACTAGACGATTAGTAATGTGCGACTAGACGATTAGTAATGCGTGATGCGGCGATGTAATGCGCGACTAGACGATTAGTAACGGTGATGCGGCGATGTAATGCGCGTCTAGACGATTAGTAATGCTTCATGTGGCGATCAGTAACGAGTAGTGAAAAAATCCACTAGGTTCAGAGAAGAAAGAGCGATAGCGAACCGAAAATTTATTGTTGCAAGGAAGATAACAATTTACGGATCGAACAAAATTCGTTTTGCATTTTGCACAACCACTCCCACGTGGCTAAACAACATATGTATGACACAGAACTCGCCTCAACTTGAAAACGTGATCACGCGTCGATGGTCCGATGCAAAAAGGCCTGACCAGATTTTACGAACTTAGTCGGCTTGTATTACACTTCACTGGCGCGTATTCGGCTTGCGTATCCAGCGCATCATCGTAACTAGACTCAACGAGTTCATATCGATGAGACCAGAAGCAAAAACGTTATCAACTAGTCAGGACGGCGGACGTCAGCGTCGTGAGGTCAGGCAAAATCTACTGGATCGTTTGGTACGATCTGTAGCTAATTTACATCTGTGGAAAGCATGCAGCACCTGTATCCCGAGACGATCGCGTGTGGATACGTGCTATCGGTGAAAAACTGCAAGTAGCAGATGACGTATCCGACTATTGTCAAGGACGTTCACGCGGACCGACAAAAGCAACACATGAAGAGATGAAAGCTCCGTCGTCGTCCGATTGTCGTGTCAACGTCTTCGGTATAGTTTTGACTCGCCGTTGGATGCGTGTCGCGAGCATCTCCTGGCAACTCGCAGCCAAGACCTCGGGGGGGGACCTTCTGAGCGGCTTTTGTAACTTGAGCTAGCCGTCTTGCCACAGTGTTGGTTAGCAAAAGACAACGTGGCTTTTGCCTTTCCTTCGTCGTACTCTAGTTCTGCTGTGGGCTTAATGTCCGAAAAATCGATTTGTATGCCCAAAAGTACAAATGGTTTGTTCAGCGCCGTTATAGAGCTTGACGAGCAAGAGACTGTGGTTCTGGTGCAACGCAACATGACCAATCGTCCGACGAATGCATGACCAAGAACTTGGTAGGCATTTCATCGACGCCTACGCCATAAGAGGAACTTAGTAACGCTTCGCAAAGGCTAGACCGACAAGAATTGTCGGCTGGCACGCAATCCTAAACGAGTGCAGACGATTGGATGGTAGTGTTTGCACAGCTGTTGGATAAGCCATCATAACTATCGCCAACGAGAACCAGACGAAGGGTGCTTGAACTATGTCGCAACCGCGTCTATGGGGCCACCACCACTAGCAACAGCGCCACGAGAATGAAGCAGTCCATTAGTGCAAGCGCGTCTTTCCTGTCGCGTCTTTGTAACGGGGTGAGCCCGTTTCATAAAATTGGTACTAATGTATCAATTTTAAAATTTTTATCAGATAATATTTTATCGGCATTGCTCAAAAAGAGGTAATGTTGGCGGAATGTTACCATCAAAAGTAATATTCTTGGGTGCTAAACTAGTTAGTTGGTGCAGACGCTACATCACCATCAACCTAATTAACCACCAGTCGCTGCTGGACGCGCATAATGGGTGGTGAGCATGGAATCCCACATAGGATATTGTAGTTTGATACAGTTAGATGAAGGAAAAGATGGTTTATTAGGAAACTGAACTGTATTGAATATAGTTTACTTACTACCATAGAACAGAGCATCTTAGTTATATTTACATACACTCGCTTGCTCACGCAACGTGTACGTGACGTCCAAACTAGGCAGCCATGTGTTAACTTAACACAAGGTCTTACCAATCATCTTGTAAGTTCGTTACTGGTTGCAAATTTCCCGCGCAATGTGTCATTGCCTCTACGGATCCCATCTGTCCGATCGCAGAAACAAGCTGTTTCTAATCGAAACGCCATTTGTTCTGCTTGAGGTCCCACAAAACATTTTAATTATTCAAAATTCTTCTTACACAAGCAAGTATGGTAGGCCGACCGTACTCGCGGCCGTCGCCTTGGTTGGAACCACGACGTTGCTGATCTGCATCTTTTAACGGGGTAGCCCGTTACTTATATGTTACCATTGTTAAATACAAATAAATTTTATTATAATAAATATATACAAATTGTTTAATCTGTGATGTAGAGGTATTTCAAAATCATTCGTTGACTTAGTGCTTATATCAATAAACAACTGCGGCGTGACGACATTGGGTGGTGAGTAGACGTCGTCATACGTTTGGAAATATAATTAAGTTAGAACAAATCAGACATCAAGAGATGATAAACCTTAATGTAGAAAAACGTTGTTTTTCTCATATGAAAATTTGGGCCGTTGTCTTAGTTTTTTACCATGCCTCTACATAGATTATAAGAGGCTGAAAGTCAATGAGCCTTCACTCGGTCAGTGAGGGCTGTCTGTGAACCGTTTAATCATTACGTAGCGATCGATGTCTTGTTACAAAACGACCTCGTAGCTATCGGAATACCACATGGGGTGGTAATTATGGAGCCTTCATTGGGTCCTTCAACACTGATACTCGCTATCCCGGCCTTGAGCTTTGTGCACATGTAAACTTCGCGCAATAGCGAGCCGTACTATCGCAATTGACGCCCCCAGTCTCTAGTATCATTGTGCGCATGGATTAGGCACCAAAGCGCGACCATGAGGATTTAAGTTAGAAAGGAAAGTTCGGCAATCCGAGGCACTTAAGGTACACTAGAGCTTACAAACTAGATTTAGAACCCTGGTAATCTGTAGGTAGTACTTCACAATTTGTGAATAGAATGCCAGAAAGTCTCTATCACACATCATGTGACGAATTTTAAAATATACTTTTTTCGATGGCACAAGCTACCGCACAGAAGCGAGCAAACCAGAACACGGTACATCAATCCTATTTTAAATAAAAATTGCTTGTTAAAAGCTTGCAAATCGTTCCTAGTTTACAGCCAGCAAACACTTAGCAAAATGCGTTTATGACAACTAGTAAATTGTGTTACTTTAAAAAATATTTGACAAAAGCCGTCACGTCTTGTACTATATGACGACTCTTATAAGATCTGGTCGCAAGGTAGCAGACAGTAGAGTCATAAGCAAATAACATCACTTCTCGTTTAATGAATGTGGTAAAGCGCAATAAAAATGAGCTAGAGGTACTCTCAATACAGAGACAAGGCGCCACCCTGACGGAAGGGGTGCCCGATGAAGAAGGATTCACCAAATTTGAAGCACTTTTTTTAGGACCTGCATGACCTATTAAGGAGATTATCGCTGCAAAGGATTTAGTTAAATGGTACTGAATTAAGACAGCCGGGAACCTCTATGAGCGGACCCTGTATACCATGGGAAGACTCGGTTCCCTTTTATAAGATTTGGGTCTAGCACTGGTAAAATCGATTCCTTATCGGTAAATCTAGGTCTCGCACTCGTAGACTCGGTCCCTTATCGATCGACTTTTTGTTGGACGTGTATTAATTCTTAAAAAAATAGATAAGCGAGGTCAAGATTCGTGGGGGTGCCGAATGGTCGACTACCTTGGACATCGAGTGTCCATCGGAGGAAGAAGGACCACGCGAAGAACCTATAGTCGCTGGTAGATCTCACCTTGCTAATGACATTGAATGCTATGCAACCTGATATTATAAATCTTGATTTATTACAGCCGTTTTATCGAGTATTATGCCATATATACTTCGATCCGCTACGAGTTGAGGGTAAAAGGTTTCCCTTATACGGAGCTTCCCTAGCTCTGTTCGTTTTTTTCAGGCTTTCCACGCAACGTGTACGTGACGTCAGGAGTACGCAGTCTTGTGTTCTAGTTACACGAGGTCTCACCAATTATCTTGTAAGAGCGGTCCCCGTTACAATCTATGGTGCGAAATAATAGTAGCGAATTGACTTTGTCGGATCACTCATTTGGATAGTTCATTTTTGTGAGGTCGTACGGCTTCTACCACTTTTATTTGTAATGGGCTATTGGAATTTTGTAATAGAAGATCACCTGCAATACAAGCCTACTGTCTTGTGCTTATTTCTTGCCTTCAGGTAAGCAACATCTTTTGATAATAAAAAACTTGCACACGAAACTTAAAGCCGGCAGGAGAACGAATCTCCTCTCATACATCGCTTTGATCGCTGGATCTGCGATGCTTGCCAAAGAACAGGTGTCTAATACAGATACGACAAAGCAACTTTTTCCTAAATCAGATGCTTCCTCGACCCTTGGTTCGTCCCCTTCTTCGACGCCGGATGTGGATCCCGAGAAGCCACTTCCTGAGCGGAGGCCAGGACAATTGCCGACAAGGCATGCGTCAAGTTCAAGCCCCAAATCCACATATCTGAGGGATGCCACTCGTATCCGGATAAGAATGGCGCGAATGAGACGACGTACGGCCTTATGATCGATGGAATTGCTGACGTCAAATTCAAGGAGCCGAAGCACGAGTCTTAAGTCTACGGGCGGTCGACGTGGCATCGAAGTAAATGGGCTATCATATACGCTTGGTACTTCCCAAGGTACGATCGTGTTAATAAAAATTACGACTGGGAGCACTTTGTCTTGTGCCTCAAGACTCCTGCAGAAGCAAACCAGGTCCT